AACATGTTAATATTGGAATGATTAGATACATGAAGTATGACATGTTAATATTGGAATGATTACATACATGAAGTATACCATGTTAATATCGGAATGATTAGATTTATTAGAACTTCACTAAGCTGCATGTAAAGAATGTCCAGACTTACTCAATTATTTGTTGTTGATTTACTTTGGGATCATAAATGGATATGTGGGCTCCTTCTTCTAACAGATGTTTACACACATAGATAGCAGGAGATTCTCTAAAATATTCAATTATTAATATTTTATATTAACTCTAACAAATAGTTGTAGTTGAAAAGTTTCATTGAACTGAAAGATGAGAAAACAATGTTTTGAATTAGATATGAAAAAAATTTTACAAAATTGTTGACTTTTCTAATAATACAAAATTTACAAAAATTGGATTATTACACAAAACAAAGTTTATCTGAACATCATTCAAACAATATCAGACCAGAGAAAGATAGAAACTACATATCTATGATGTGCTTCGTACAAAACTAACTTGAAAACAACAACAATCACCAGAGAAACTATATCTGAATAATGTGCTTCAGATAAAACTAACTTCAAAATACAATCTAATACAGAATGTATGGAAAAATGCCAATTATTGAATAATGGATGAGAAAACACCCACTACTGAAGAATGGATGATAAAACAACACCCACTACTGAAGAATAGATGATAAAACAATACCAACTACTGAAGAACTTATGAGAAAACAATACCCACTACTGAAGAATGGATGATAAAACAATACCTACTACTGAAGAATGGATGATAAAACAATACCCACTACTGAAGAATGGATGATAAAACAACACCCACTACTGAAGAATAGATGATAAAACAACACCCACTACTGAGGAATGGATGATAAAACAATACCCACTACTGAGGAATGGATGATAAAACAACACCCACTACTGAAGAATAGATGATAAACAATACCCACTACTGAAGAATGGATGATAAAACAATACCTACCACTGAAGAATAGATGATAAAACACCCACTACTGAAGAATAGATGATAAAACAACACCCACTACTGAAGAATAGATGATAAAACAACACCCACTACTGAAGAATAGATGATAAAACAATACCCACTACTGAAGAATGGATGATAAAACAATACCTACTACTGAAGAATGGATGATAAAACAATACCCACTACTGAAGAATAGATGATAAAACAAAACCCACTACTGAAGAATGGATGATAAAACAACACCCACTACTGAAGAATAGATGATAAAACAATACCCACTACTGAAGAACTGATGAGAAAAAAACACCCACTACTGAAGAATGAATGATAAAACAATACCTACTACTGAAGAATAGATGATAAAACAATACCCACTACTGAAGAATGAATGATAAAACAACACCTACTACTGAAGAATAGATGATAAAACAAAACCCACTACTGAAGAATAGGTGATAAAACAATACCCACTACTGAAGAATGGATGATAAAATAACACCCACTACTGAAGAATAGATGATAAAACAATACCCACTACTGAAGAACTGATGAGAAAAAAACACCCACTACTGTAGAACTGATGATAAAACACCAACAACTCAAGGATGGATGAGAAAATAACATTTACCAAACATCAGGGCTTTTTCTGAACCTCCATTTTCATACCTTGTATCTCCTGTATTCTTCTTGAAAGCAAATCCAAAAATTGTAATCTTCTTATCAGTAAGTGTGTTAAAAAGTTTTTCAGCAATTCTTCGAACAAATCGAGTTCTCTGATATCTGTTCATTTCTATTACCTGCTGATACACATAAAATAAGAAATGAAATTAAGCATGGTAACTGATGTAAAATCTCCTGTCCTTTAGCTTTAGTTGAAACAGAAATTAGGAACTTTTAATACTAATAACTGGTATAAGTGCTTTATAACAAGTGCTTTAGTTTTAGAAGGAACAGCAATAAAGTACTTTTAAACATGGTAACTGGTGTAAAAGCCTAAAATTGCTTCAGTTATTATTAATTTTATATTTACTTATATCTTCAAGTATGTACCTAACATTTAAGATTATTTTTTTTTTATTTAATCCTGGTTATGATCAATATCGAGGTCAAAGCAGATGTTACTTATTGACAATTTAAAAATATTAAATTTGTTTCTGATGTTTAAAAACAATGATTGAAACACACTTTCTAGAACAACCTACCTGATACCAGTAATTTGCAACTTCTTGAAGGTTTAAGGACTCGCACAGATATACAAGGTTCAATACATCTTTTTGAAAACAACTTCCTCCAAACCCTAAATTTAATAAGAATAAAAAATTGATTAACTCTGTGACTAGGGGTACAAACATAACAACCAAAGTAACCATGAGATTATTCATAGTATAACTTTTGTTCATATCTTCATAAACTTTTGCAAACTGTCAGTAAATATTATAAGGCTTTTGTATACAAAATATCAGGTTTTTTAAATAAGTATTTTGATTAAAAATTTGCTCATGAATTTTTACTTTGGAAATGTTGACTATCAAACATGCAAAGTGATTTTGATTTTAAGATTAAAAATACTTTTCTTCACCTGAATAATTATCAAATTTCATTTGTTAAATCTCTAAAACCTCCTAAACAAAATCAAAATTTCTTTTTATAAGAGGTTTATATTTTATCTGTTATTTTCTCTACCCTACTATGCGGGGTCAGTTGATTTGACCAATCTCATAACCACCATAAAAATTAGGAGATAAATATAAATTAACCTATTTTCTTTCTAGAATAACTGCAAATTGTAACAGGAAATCACAATTGTTTATTCTAAATTGCTTAAAGCTAATAACAGTATACATCTAGCTATATTTATTAATTTCTTTGTTTTATTGACTTTTGAACCATGTCTAACTAATAATCCCACCACACAAGTTGTAAATCACAAGTGCAGCTTATGTTAACATATCAAATAGCATAAAACTAGTCTACAAGGAAAAATCTTACTCTTCTTAGTCTTAGTACTAGCATACAAGTATTGTGTAAAATACAGCAACATTTCAGTTACCATACATTACATATGAGCATATATTATTAAATTACTTAAATTTCAGTTACTTTTCTTAAAAGACAGAACAGTAGATATAAAAAACATATAGAAAACAATGATCTCTACTGCTTAGGATGTTACAAAAATTTCTGTACTCGTGCATCATACTTGCTATGCCTCACCAAATTTCACACGTTCAGGATGTAAAAATTAAATTTGGTAGGTTTTTATATATTGATTTTGGATTAACAAAAGTTATAAATTACATTACCGATACCACAAAAAATCCCCTGTAATTTATCAGGCTTCCTAACTAAACTTTATTTGAGTCTAAAACATCTCATTTCTGATCAGAATATCGCCTTGATCATCACACTTCAAGCTCTCAAACGATAATGATAGCTTTACCCTCATAAATACTTTAGGAAGACTGACAGTATTATGTAGTTCAAAATGAGTGCTTTAAATTGGTTAAAAACAAGTAATTGAAAGAAATGGGTTTAGATAAACACGTATTTTCAAAAGAGGATTTGGTGGACAAGCCATTGTGAGAGAGTTGCTAAATATAATATCTCGGCAAATAGAAAAGGTAGGAGGTTCTTATTTTATATTGTCAATATTGGTAATTTCACTGTCTACTTTGTTAAAAGCTACAGACATTGTTTGTGGGTGTCATAAAATGTAAAAGCAGAAGATGATGTATCAGTTCATGTAATCAATATTTAGCTTTTTTTATATTTATTTTTGAATTAAGAAATTAAATAATGTATAATAATAAAATTCCAATCATAAACTACAATTTGATTACACATTTATTGACATACCTTCATAAAATAGTCTATATATATAAAAGAGGAAGTTTGTTTATTTTTTTATTTTCTTCGCTATAGGAAACCAAATGGTTAAACTTGCAAATTTTAAAATAACTTCATAATAACCAGTTTTTTACAAGAAATTTAATGGTGCTATTTATTTTGTATTTAGTGTAGTATTTAATGACAAAATTAACAATTAATGATCACTGCACCATTTTTTGTAATAAACATACAAATATAAACATGTTTTGCACATAGAAATCTTTATGGCGAGAGACACTCAGATCACCTTGCTGTCAATTCTGTATTTCCAAAAACAGTTTTATTTAAATAGTGCTAAGTGGTTT